TTGTTTTTTCAATACTTCTTGATTTTTCATATTTTCATTGCTTATTCATTCCGAAGAGTAGCGCTACTTGTCATTACATCAAGTTGGTTTGTCGCTGAAGAGCCGGCATTAGTCAGGAAAGACATCAGGCTTTGCGAAGATGCGTCTACGAATCTGATATTTGTTACAGAAAAGTGAATTGCAAGCCGGAGTTTGCGAGCGGTAAGACTACAGTGATTGGCGCGTTGCCATCAGCAGATGCTCGGTTAGTGCATCAGTTTCCAGTTTCGTTTTTGGAAGACTTTGTAAACTGGATTTCGAGCAAGACGTTTTTACCCATTCTTCGGCACGACACAGTCTTCAATCCATTCATGAACGTAGCTTCGGTTTTAGTTTTTTCGATTGTTGTTACGGAGTCATGTTTCTGTATATGATGTTTTAAACAGCTAAAGAAGTTTAGGTCGAATGTTGCATCACCGTTAGCTACAGTGCCAGCACCTGCTGATGTGGATCATAGCATAAGGTATAAATAAAAATGCCGTATTCTCACAGTTTACTTTAATTGCCTGCATCAGATTGCATGTTCGCACATAAAAATTAGGAACAGGTCCTTGCTTTTACCTAACTGCATCCGCTAACAGTTCAACACGTGAAAAAGGAACATCAGCTTTCTCAAATGATGGGTCTGTTTTCTTAAAAAAAATGAAGCATTTTTTAAATTTTTTCGGGGTATACCTGTATCTCTTAATCATTGTGTTGACAAAAAAGACTGCTGATTACAGTTACAACAATGCAGCGTTTTTCGCAACATCTGGAGCTACTGGTCTTGGTGGTCTGAATAGCTCAAGAAGTAGCGAAATTTCGAGGAGCGAAGCAATTGACCTGTACAGGTTCGCAGTTTTTGTGCGTTTTTGTTGTGCAGTGATACAGCGCTGCTACCGCGGGCAAAAACGCACATTGTCGAGAGGTCGTCCGCGTGTGTGTTTTCAGAAGCGAGTGAACTTTGCCAACCGCTTTCAACTAGCGGTCAGGGAAGCTGGGAGCCTGTAATTTTGGGCACATATTTCCACCCGGTGTGCCACTCTCCCGTTTTGAAATCACTCATGCGCGTTTAGACCCCGTGTACGGACCGCCCAAAAAAATACGCAGATTCCTTTGGCGGAGAATGATTTCGTGAACCAGGTAAGGTACAAAGCTGAAACATTGCTGGGATATTCTCCGGGTATGTGCGAGCTAAATATTTCAAATTCGGCTGTCGCGCACGCTTGTACAACGCGTATGAACACGTTAAAGTTTGCGACTTGGTACTATGGTAACTCGAACACTTACTAGAAAACACTGGCTGAAATTTTGTCAGGATGTTTGTCTTCCGTAATAGTATGCCTAAAATGAGTGCCGACTTGCACTTGGGTCACGATTTAGGGCACTTCAAAGATATTTGTAGCGAAGTGGATATTTTGCTTACTGAATAAGGTGCGAGGCTGAAAATTCACTGGGATATTCTACTTTCAAGTTCGATCTTAATTCTGCTTGGAGGTGAAATTTCCTGCAGGTGGGCATGTGAAATGCTCATTTTTTCCGAAAAACCAGAAACGATGCGTTTTGCAGCGAACGACCGCTCTCGTCCAAATATGTAAACCCAGGCTGGAACGCATTAGGCGAGCCGGTGCGATCATGCGTTTTTGCATCAAACTTTGAGGTGCTCCATCATATTTCCCTGCC